TTTTTTTTTTTTTTTCTATTAACCAAATCAATTCAGACTATCATACCCAAGTTCACCATTAACAATTTTTTACATTTCTAGAATTAATTGTCAATAATTGTACACTTCCCAAACCAGACTAAGACGTCACCATAGAGCAAGGGAACAGTAACTATTTGGCCCAATGACCCACCAAAATTGTAAACTTCATGGTAGAATTTCTAGGGAAGATCTAGCAATCAAAGAAAAATAAAAAATGCACAAATTGGGGAAGGAACTGTGCAACAAAACCCCAAAATTTTTGCTACATAACAAGGTAGATTTGGAGGGTTGCATCTCTCATGAACTCTCCTTTCCAGATTTGATCAATGTGGATCTCCCCAATCGAGAATATGGGGATGTCTGATTTGGGGGTTAATAAATCTAAAGATTACATTAGAAATTGAAATTGAAGACTTAGTGAGCAAGCTGTAGTAGTTGGTAGATTCATCGAACAATTACATCCTTTCTTTCATAGGAAATGCAGAAGCGAAGCATCGACATGGATAATCTCAGCTATGAAATCTTCTCAATCTTGGAGAGCAAGTTCTTGTTTGGTTATGATTATCAAAAGCTATGGATTCCCAAACAAATCTATTCAGCATTGAAACCGAAGCTTGAAGTGGTGCCTCAACTAACAACCAACAACAATAGCATTTTTGCAATCAAGGGATGTTCGATTTGGTGATGGCTAGAGGTGATTTTGATGATGTTGACCAAAACAAATAGAAACAATCATTAGAAAAGGGGAAGATGATTAAAGATGAGAAAGAAGTGAGGGAAAGTGGTGGAATGAGAAGAAATTTTTTGGTTTTTTTCTAATAGAGCCAAAGGCATTAGGATTTTGATTGTTTCTCTCTTGTGGAGGCCAAGAAAGAAACACTTCGAATGGACAAAGTTTGGGATTTTGATTTTTTTTTTTTTTTTTTAAGGAATTTGATTGGGGAGGAGGAAGAGAGAGAACAAGAAACAAGTGACAAAGATGAGGCCAAAAGAGGAATTTCATTTTAGTTTAATCATTAAAAAAACTAAAGTGTATAAGGTAATTATGTAATTAACTAAATAAGGAGTGGATAAAAAATTTCGATCCATGTCATCATTTGTGTGGTGTGGCATTTCCATATCATTATTGTGAAGAAATTAATTTAATTTAGTTAATTAATTTAATGAAAAATAAGTTTTTTTTTGTCAATTAACTTGACATGTCGGTATATTTTGAATAGAGGAACTAAAAAGGGAGTTAAATTAAGATATTTTAGGGATCAAGTATGGGATTTAATTTAACGAAAATATATAATTATAATGCCATGTGATATTATAAATTTATAATTTTAATATACTATTAATAATTTATTTTTTTCGAAGATCTACCCGTCTATACATCTATAAATCTACTTATTTAATAATATATTAAAATTATAAATTTATAATCTTCCTAACATCGTAAATATATCATTGTTGTTAAAAATAATTAATCACAAGCTATATTGTCACTATTGGGGACCTAATTGAAAAAAATAAAAAGTTAACGACTTCTATCCACTTAACGAAATTTATTTATTTCTCTCTCGTCTCGCTCGAGCTCTTAAACCCTCTGTGCGTGAAAAGCCTGTCCGGCGGCCTCTTCGTTCAGATTCTAGCTTCTGTCACCGGAGAGAAAGCGAAAGGAAGAAAAAGAACAGAAAATTCAAGAAATAGAGAGGTGGATGGACAAGATGAAGATAGAAGAAGTTCAGTCAACAGCTAAGAAACAGAGAATAGCTACTCACACCCACATTAAAGGGCTCGGTCTCGATGTACGCTCTCTCTCCCCTTTCTCTTTTCAAATTTAAGGTTTTAGCGTCTGTAAGGAACTAAAGGGAGCCATTTTTCCGCTTTCCGGAAGGGGCAGTGGATAGAAGCTTCCAAAGATTACTGCTTTCATCTTCTGCAGCTGATTAGTTAGGGTTTTAAGTGTCTGCAATGTGAATTCGCAGTTAAATTTAGTCAGTTAAAAACTGACATTGCTGGTTGATATGAGGGATTGGGGCTCCATATTGTTTACTATCAATGATGGTAAATTTATTGTCCACTGCATATTGATATATAATTTTTCTAGTTCTTTCCAGTGGGTTTTCTGTAGTCACTTGTTGCAGTCAAATGCGTTTTGGATATCTAGCAATATTTAGTTATCTGGTTGAATTGGGTGTCATGGTATATTCAAATGGTTGCCTGATATCTCTTTATGGTCTAATTGAAAATCATTTTTCTGGTAGGCCAATGGAATTGCCATTCCTTTGGCTGCTGGCTTTGTGGGTCAAGCAGAGGCAAGAGAAGCGGCTGGTCTTGTGGTGGATATGATAAGGCAGAAGAAGATGGCTGGCCGTGCACTTTTACTAGCTGGGCCGCCAGGTACTGGGAAAACAGCTTTAGCCCTTGGAATATCCCAAGAACTTGGTAGCAAGGTACTTCTCACATTTGTCCTGTTAAAATTTGAGTATTTGTGAACTTTGATACTGTTAAAATTCAATTTTTTGAAGGGACTGTCTTTTATTCAATTTTTTTCTTAATTTTCAGGTTCCTTTCTGTCCGATGGTTGGGTCAGAAGTATACTCATCAGAAGTGAAGAAAACAGAGATTTTGATGGAAAATTTTCGACGGGCAATTGGCTTGCGTATCAAGGAAAATAAAGAGGTCTATGAAGGAGAGGCAAGTTACACTTCATTGATGGTTCTTAAAATCTTTTCATTTTTTTCATTTCTTAAATGACCATGTATTCTGATGCTCTGGCATTCTTGTTGTAGGTTACTGAACTCTCTCCTGAAGAAACTGAGAGTGTAACTGGTGGTTATGGTAAAAGCATTAGCCATGTCATTATTGGATTAAAGACTGTTAAAGGAACAAAACAGCTGAAGTTGGACCCTACAATTTATGATGCCTTGATTAAGGAAAAGGTAGGGCTTTTAGTTTTTTGATGGTTGAGCCATGTTAAATTATTCATTTCTTTCTTGCTGGGGATTTGTAACATTTAGATTGTGTGAACATGTTTCTATTCTAACTTACAGGTTGCTGTTGGGGATGTTATATACATTGAAGCAAATAGTGGTGCAGTCAAAAGGGTGGGTAGAAGTGATGCTTTTGCCACAGAATTTGATCTTGAAGCAGAAGAGTATGTTCCCCTTCCCAAAGGAGAGGTTCACAAAAAGAAGGAAATAGTGCAGGTTTGTCTCAATGAATTGTAGGCTATTAGAACTGTTTTCTAAAATTTAAAGCAATGATTTGCAGATCAACACCAACAGCAATATTTGGTTTTTGACCTATGATGCAACTTTATGGTGATTTTCTTCGGCTTTGTTTACTTTTATGTCACCAGGATGTAACATTACATGATCTAGATGCTGCAAATGCTCACCCTCAAGGTGGGCAAGATATATTATCTCTTATGGGTCAGATGATGAAGCCCAGGAAAACAGAAATCACTGATAAGTTGCGCCAAGAAATCAATAAGGTACTATCTTCTAAATATATGCCTTGTACACTAAAGTTCTATTTGTACGTATCTAATTTGCTTGAGAGCTTTTACAGTTTTGCAATTGTGTTCACCATGTCTTCTTAAATCAAATTTTCTATTTGTGACAGGTTGTAAACCGTTACATTGATGAAGGTGTGGCAGAGCTTGTTCCAGGGGTTCTATTCATTGATGAGGTCCTTGAGCTATTTACACTATATATGCACCGCAGAAAAATTAAATGCTTGCACTGACATGCATGCCTGCAAATAGCAGATAGATACCTGTCTTTTCTATATCATAAACCATACACAAATACATATAGAATGCATGGTACTTACGTTTCTAAGTCCCAATTTGCAGGTACATATGCTGGATATGGAGTGCTTTTCTTATTTGAATCGTGCTTTGGAAAGCTCATTAGCTCCAATAGTAATCTTTGCTACAAATAGAGGAATATGTAATGTAAGGTAAGTGATCTTTTGTTCGAGATATCATGCAGAAACTTGTAACATATGGAAGTACATACAACTCTACAAGGAGCTGTTTCTATGTCATTGTCATGGTTTTCATTCTGAGTTGTTGCTTTATTTACGTGTATTTTGTCTGCATTATACATCATTTTTATCCATTTATGTTTGCCTTTCTTGTTGACCAAAAATTGTCTTTCTCATTTGGCATCTGTTGGACATCCTGGTAATAACGTGTATTTAGGATGCAATTACATAAGATGAAATGGTAATAAATATTTTGTTCCCTAGTGGTATCCCAATATCTTATATTCTTGGTGATTTGACTTAGTCCTCGTCCTTTAATGCAGAGGGACTGACATGAATAGTCCTCATGGCATACCTGTTGATTTGTTGGACCGTTTAGTGATCATCCGGACACAAATTTATGGACCTGCTGAAATGATACAGGTACAGGCCTGCTGGCCTGGTTTGTCTGCAGAACCTTTCTAACTTTCTGAACCTGTTATCTGTCAAATGACAAGTTAAAAATGTTTTTATTATCGATCCTATGCAGATTTTAGCTATTCGAGCACAAGTGGAAGAGTTGGTTGTTGATGAAGAAAGTCTTGCCTTCCTTGGAGAGATGGGACAAAGCACATCATTGAGGCCTGCCTTCATTTTACATTGTGTTTCATATTTTGCATCA